GAGGCATATGGTGGCACAGGAAACTGTAAACAAAGAAAGATCAGCAGAGTTCACCTCTGCTGATTTTATCTCATCTACTGACAGGACACCTGTTTAAAGAGCGCTGCAGCACCGGCTACTTTTCAATTTGCCCTTGAATCATCACGCACACACACACACACACACACCTCAGTGGTATTCTCTTGCTGTCATATAAACCTAAGCCCGGATCTATTTGACATTCAGTAAGCATTACACACACAATACGAGCTAACTTCCATCTCCATCCCAGCACAGCACTGTACTTTAAGCAAAGCTGACGTGAGGATAATACAGACATGGCTGCTATCAGGGAACAGAAACATGCCGACAGATGGAAAAAGGTAGTAGACAAAAGAAAAGGATGGATGGAAAAGAGAAAGTAACAAAGAAGAAATCAGAGGGAATGGAGTAAAAAGAAAAACAGATGGAAGAAAAATGTGGATGATGAAATTCAGAGGAATGTGTAAGTGTGATCCTGTCAAAGAGGTAGGGAGGTCGGCACAGGACAATAAGAAGACTGTTGGCTGCTGGAATATTTATGCTGCAGTGAAGTGATGATGAAGGTGGAGCTCGACGTGCCTACCTGCCATAGTGCCACGCTGAGTGCCTGGTCACTCCTCCTGTCAATCAACCAGTCACTCAATCCACAGAGCAGTCAGTCAGTCAGTCCACTTGCCCTCACTCTTCCTCCTTAGAGACTTCCTGGACTCCCACTCCCTCCCCTTCCCATCTATGACCGGTGCTTGCTCACCCTCTCGCTCCCTCTCTATCTCACACACACACACAAAAATAAATCATCTGCCATCCTCTTTTGCTGACCCACTCCTTCCTCCACCTCCACTTCCTCCTTCCTGGGCCACTCCCTCTTCCTCCTCCCATCCCCTGCTCCGCCTCTCTCTCTCTCCTCTTTTTTTTCTACTCCTTCCCTTACATCCCTCCTCCTGTCTCATTAATTAGCTACAAGCAGAGAGAAAGCCGAGGCAGAAGGGGTGGAGCCTGGCTTAGGGCCACACAAACACACTGCACCAGCATCAGCATCAGCACAGCCAGGCACCACCAGGAAGAGATGCTGCGACGTCCAGGATCAATGACATGCACTCACACACCCACATAAAGGATACACACCACATGAGAATAAATGCCACCACTGTAGTCTGTGTCCTTGCAGGTAAAAATGTAAAAACTGTCCAGTTACCATGCAGTATATTCTCATTCAAGATCTACATGCACTCATCTGGAAATGTTTCAAACTGGTAACAAGAGTATGGCCGATTTTGGTGCTTTAAAAGATGAGTCTGTGATATTCTACAGACAGGAAAAGGTCAAAACCAATGATAACAGATGGATTTCCAGTCTATGTAGCTAAAGTGTGACACAGCTTAATCTTCTGTGCTGCACTGTATGCTGTTGCAGCCTGCTTAAGGGACGATAGATTATAATGCCAACACCCCACAATATTATAGAGAACTCCACTCATTGCATGATCCCCAATGAGCAGCACCTGGTGAAAACTGGGAGGAAGAACCTTCAACAAGAAGAAACCTCATTTCACAACATAAAATATGTGTTTGTGAAGTGTTTTCCTCACCCTATACCAACATTTAAATAAATAATACAGTAAATCTTACATTTTAAACACTTGCCATTTGAATTGAAACCTCAGCGTACCATGAAGAAAGGAATTTTTCAGCAGACTGGTGCGTGACGCTTTTTTCTTTTCATTGCCACTAAACAGAGTTTGCAAATGGCAGCTGTGCAGCATACAGTATGCCACGATTGACGGGTTCGTCGCTGTAACGCTCAAACATTGCTTCAGCCGCTAGTCATTTCAGTCTTCAGCTGGAGGAACAGACTGTACTCTGCACTGGTAAAGTGGCACTCTGCAGGTTGCACAGCATCACTTTGCACTGTAAACGTGGTCCAGATGTCAGTATGGATTCATGCAATCATGTGCGTACTTTCGTAGAGATAACAGGTGCATGTTGTTAAATACACCACTGCAACAAAGATGAATCATAAAATATGGATGTGCAAAGGGAAATGGCCCATTTAGAGTCTTGTTTCTTCAGATAAAATAGTGAGATATGAGATTTAGTTAAAAATCTTTTTCATGCCCCACTGATGACCAAATTAAATTTGCATATGAAATGCAAACTATTATTAAAACCGGAACCCAAATAACTAAACAAACTAAATTGCTAGTTAGTAGCGTAAACCTCCTGTCGACTCTAAAACAACAGCACGGAGAGAAGTGAGGCACACTGAAATTTATTGTGAGGCCATTAACGACGTCTGTGTGCAGACTTTAATAGCTGAGAATCACTTAATGCCTGTACAGTGTGTCCTCATATGTCTCTGTGCTAAAGTGTCACAATATGAACAAGTATATTCGATTCAAAGGACAACTGTGCAATTCTGAAATGAGCTCAAGAGTAAAAGCTCTGAGGACTGAGAACGAATGTATAAAGAAGCCTGATGTGTTGTATTTACCTCAACAGCATCATTTAGATAAAAGCTATAAAACCTGTCAGTACTGGAAATGCTAAACTAACTCATTATACTGCCCTACAAATAGAACATCCAGCTTTATTGGAGCCAGACGTTCAACATGTTCAAAGAGACTATGTGTTTAATTTGACTAGAAAATTTTTTAAACACTGGAGAATCCAAACTGCATTTGGCTCAAGCGTTGACCAGGACATGACAACAGATCGGATGAAGATGGAGGATCTCTGGTTACAGCAGTGAGAGGACAGATGGCAGATACAAGAAGATTGACAGACAGGTCAAAAGAAAGGGAACGAAACAGGGTGCTTCAATAGACACATAAAAGATTACACATTTTGGCTAAGTTAAACTCTCTAGAGCTTCCTGTTGCTAACAGAGTCTACTAACAGAATTATAACACACTCTGTTCTCCACTTAGCTCATTCCTGTCTACCTGCAGCCTGCTACCTGCAATAAGACACCTTCATGTTATTCTTATGACTGATTCACACTTCACACAGGCATATTTCAGCACCTAGTTTAAAACTAAACACTGTTTATTGTCTGACTGCAGTATCCAGACACAGATTAAATACTGTGCTTCACCCTGTTGACCAAGGAGGGTGCAAATTACTTCTGTTTTTGCTTTCAATAATTTTAGCAGTAGAGTCCCCACTCAAAGTCACAATCCTAACCAGCTAAAAACAACCCCATGGCATGTCCGTGCATGAAAATGCTGTGGTGAATAGCAGGTAAAAAAAAATACAGTCTGAAAATAATACAGCAACCATAATGTAAGAAATCAGCCCGCATTTAATTGGATGAGAACCTACAGCCTTCATGGCACACTGTGACACCTCATTAACGTACCCACTTGTCCTTCAAATAAATAGTCCAAAAAGGAAACTTGTCAGTTTTATCAGATGACAATAACCTACATATAAAAAAACAGCAATGTATTCATATTATTAACTGCTGATTTAAATCAAAGTGCTATTTTTGTTTTAACATTTAAAGTGAAGAAGCCAAAAAGCCAGTCATTATGCGTCCAAAGTGGTCCAAATAAAGCAGTTGACCCTCAGCTGCAGGACCAGCTGTCACTCAACAAGCCTCCACTGTAACTTAAAAGCAAAATTTTCCTCTTTTTGTTTTAATTTGAGCTCAGCTACTGTGAAGATCAACGAGCCGAGGCTGTGCATTTGTCTTACAGTTTAACTGAAATCGTTATGATCCAGGAAGCTGCAGGAGGCTTTGGACCACCGCCTCCACCAAATGCTTTGATTGGCACATGCTCCTTCTTGGATAACACACATCACAGCTCTGATCAGACTCTCACGACCCCTCACTGTCTCCCCACCTGCTTCTCAATATGGCTGTCTGTGAAGTTTAGTTGACTGCAGGGTTAATGCAATCCACAGATACTTCCCTAAGATAACAACAGTTCAAACGCCTTAAACTGCTCCACTGATGGTATTCGCATCTCCACATGAATCTCTCCACAGAGACAATTTGTCTAAAACAGCCTTAGAAACTCATCACCACCTCGTACGCCTGTCACAATCCTCCAGCGTGACCACAGATACGATCTATTCTAGCAGCATCAGGCGAGCATTTGCATCATATTTGTTAACCAGGATGTGACCGACACAGGCAGACGAGGCAGGGGGGTTAGGAAACTGTCAAATGGCCATGAGTGTAAAAAATTAAGCTGCTGATATTGCGAACAAGACAAAGTTCCTATTCATGATGGCAACCACAATCCCTCCACCACTTTAGTGCTAAAGGCAACAGGTCAATTGTATTTCTAACAGCGGTTTGTAGCCCTAAAGTGTGGTTCTTCACTCATGTAAATGACTTAGTGATGATAACTCAATAAATTTTACTCTCTAACTATTAAAAACACAACGCTGTCAGAAAGAGATCCTGAAAGTGTCAAACTGCTGGGAACTTTTGAAATGAATATAAGCCATATCTAAATTGTAATAAATAAAATAAATAAATAAATAGATTAAAATAATAGAAACCTTTGTGCCTTCAAACGCAGTTCACTTAAAATGTGTTCATCTGTTTTTATTGTTGCAACTAAAAAACTGTACGTTGACAGCTATGTACATTATATATACACACATATACACATAGTGTGTGTGTGTGTGTGTGTGTGTGTGTGTGTGTGTGTGTGTGTGTGTGTGTGTGTGTGTGTGTGTGTAAGAGCCAGCAGTGATCTAATATGATAAAAGAGTAAAATCATACAAAGCTCATTACACAAACACAAACCACGTAAGCAAAATCAGAAGACACTAAATATTTTCAACATCTCTTCTGATATTTTTGAAATATATTTTAAAACGTTCTCTAGAAGAATGAAAAAAAACATGTTTGTTTGTTTTCTCGATTTTTCTGAATGAAATTGGAGAGCTGTGCAGCTGTCTGGACGGCGGTGTTGTTTATTTTCCCCTGTTGTGTGTGATGGAGAGGAATGAGAGGCAGCTCACCGTTGTTGCAGTACTGTAGCAGCAGGTTGGTGCTGTCATACAGGCTCCCACACGAAGCTACCCGCTCCGACATCCTTTCCTCCTTTTGTTATCTCTTCTGTTTTTCCAACTCTCACTCGTCTGCTTTGTCCTCCTTTCACCTCTCTCCCTCTCTTCTTCACGCCGTTACCCCTTTCTGTCTCATCATACAAACACGCACAAACACACACATACACACTTTTACCTGCCTCGGCTCTCCGGCTATTCCCGCTCCAGCCTTACTGTCACCGTCAAGTGCAACCTGTGGGACAAACTGCACTTCCTCTGCCTGCTTTCAAAGTAATATTCAACAATGCTTCTTAGCCACTTAATATGATTTGGAAGACTTATGCGATTGTGATGTAAATTTTGGACTAAATTAAATGTAGATTTTAATACAATATCAAAACAATACAGATTCAAATTTTTTATATATATAGTCACCTTAATTTATATAAATGACAAAGACTCTGTAGTGAAGTTATTTTGAAACACTATGTAACTTAAAATACATTCAATTCTACTGGTCAGCAGGATATAAGCAGTTTAATCTGACTTTTCTTCTTTTAAGTAAATAAAAAGGTAATTATCTGTAATGTTTTAAATTCTTATTTCTGGGGACATTTTTATTTATTTTTTGTTATCTTTTTTACATTACTTTTATTTATTTATTTACTTTCTTTTGTTTTTCCTTAGTTTTGGGTCTCCTTTGCGATGGGACCCGCTTTAATTTTGAAGGGAGAACCATGTTTCTTCCGGCAATAATCTATTTGACATCTTCCTGTCTGTCTGTCTGTCTGCCTTGTGTGCCGCTGTTCCTATAGCAACAGCCTCTCCGGCAGCTGTGGTCCGGGTAGCGATCATTGGCGGCAGGAAAGCTATACAGTTTGTAGAGTGTAGAAAACACCGAACTAAATGAAACAGGTTTGTGTTTGTGAGACGGGAAAGGTGATCGCAGGCAGGCGTTGCGTTCCTGAATAATTGACGGAGAAACGGTGAGCTGCACCTGGCACACGTGTTTACAATCGATGCCAGAAACCGTTGAGACAGAACTGGAGGTTGAACCTCTTCCGCTGCAGCCTCTGAACATGTTCGGCTGGCAGTACCTGCTTTTAGTTACGATTATTAACGTTTCGACTTACGAATACCTTGGTGTTTTTTTTTTAAGAGTAAGTAGTAAAATCATAATTTAATAAATTGCCCTATGATGATGATGTTGATGATGATTATTATTATTATTATTAGGTAGATGCTTTGGGACAAATATTGAAAAGAAAGAATGCTTTCAAAAACTGTATTAATGTTTTTATTGCTAACAAAGCAAAACACATTTCAGTTAGCTAAAGGACACATTTTGAATAAATAAATATAATGATTGGTTTAAAATGCAGACTGTATGTGACTGAATTTCATCACCAGGCCTCAAATGCATAATTAAATGAAACTAGATTCAATTTGATAGAGCACGAAGAAATGATCAGCATGTCAGAGAAGCTGACTTGTCTTGTGTCTGTTACTGACAACTTTGATCTAATACTAAATCTTTCTTATGGTTGGTTAGTGCTACATAAATAAAGGTGTTTCAGTTTGTCACTGATAATTTATTTGCACAGTTTAGTCTGTTGAAATGAGTCAGTGGCAGTACAACTTTATTAAATTGATTTAATCTCAAGCTCCAAGGCTATCCATTTTTTTTCCCTCTCAGGAGGGTTTGTTTCCAGTTTTCCTTTAAATGACATCAGAAGTCATATTGAGATGGTCTGTGGGCTGATCCTGACCTTCAGGTCTTATTTTAGGCATACAATCTACAATCAGAAGCCACCTTCCATTGTAACACTCTCGTTAAGAGTTCAGCTTTTCAGACAATAAATACCTCTGTTCTTTATATTTTAAAGCAAACCTGTAAAACACTTTAGAGCTCTTGAGTAGATGTAGAAATTATGAAAATGATTCATCTCAATCGCTAGTCAAGTAGATATCAAGTTTGATTTTTAATCGCTCATGTACTCGTTGTTAAAGATCAGCAGCACCTGGAAGAAAAAACTGATGACGTTGAAGGAATAAAACTACAAAATGAAGTCGTCATGTCTCCATGTTACACTCTTATGTCAAATAACAACAATGCATTTTAATTTTCATACGCATTTATTCACAGATGAAAAATATGCACTCTCCTCCACAGGAATGTGTAACAAGATTTGGTAGACCAATGTAACAGTGCTTCTGAG